GAGCAAAGGGGTTCTCGTGTCCCCTTTGGAGCCCAGCTGTTGGACCTGTGGTTTCACATGGTTCAGGTGTAAGCATGTTGCAGAAGAGCTAGGGGTGACCTGATGCTGGACTGCAGTTTTGTTTGTGTGTGTGTGTATATATATATATATATATATATGCATGCTTATATAACTCTTAATGTTATCAAAATGGATGGCACTTAGAGGAACGCTGTAGAAAGAGTCTGCTGCGTTATGTTTAGAAAGAATCAGAGATGGTCACTTTTCCAATTGCAAAGTGGCAAAAGTGGAATGAATGTAAATGGGTTTTTTTCTCATTTTAAAGTAGCCAACAGTGAAAGAGTGAAGGCACTGTGGCTTTGTGTGAAGCTTTGCACTACCTCCATGTTGTCTTCTAAGGGAGAGCTTTTGGTTTCTTTATGCAGATGGAAGTACTTAAAGATTCAAGCATTTCTGTTTGGTCTCACTTTATAAATCCTTATGAGACTCAGGGTATCTGTTTTCTCACAAGCTTTGCTAAAGTTTCTGAGCTAGTAGGTTTTCTTTTTTCTTTTTTATTTTTTTTTCTTCCCCCCAGGAGATCGTAAGTAGGGAGAGCGAGGAGGAAAGTAGTGGCGTCAACTTGATGGAGTTCTCAGATGAGATCCTCTTGCACATCCTCAGCTACGTCCCTTGCACAGACCTTGTCCTGAATGTCAGGAGAACTTGCAGGAAACTTGCAACGCTTTGCCTTGACAAGAGTCTGACACACACAGTTTTACTTCAGAAAGACTATAAGGTGGGGAGAGTAGCTTGCTTCTTCTGTTAGCTATGAAGACAAATCTGACTTCTGAAAAAATGCCAAGAAGTAGAACTTTCCAATGTGTCTGCATAAATGAACTGCTCTTGAACTCTGAAATCAAATAAACAATAAACTGTTTTATAAAAGCATTTGTTTTCCAGAATGCTTTGTTAGAACAGCTCTGTGCTCCCTTAGTTATATAAAATACTGTCAGTGAAAACTATCTTCTCTGGATTTCTGGAAGCTAAAATGAAAGTAAATGTGACTTTCCCTGTGTAGCTGTGGTTGTGTAAAGTTACCGTTTTCTCAAAATACATTTTCCATGTTGTGCAAAAAAATCTCATGCATATTGCTGTCAGGCATGCAGTCAGCTAAGCCAGAAACTGTATATGTGTTAGAACAAAAATAAAGCTTGGGAATGAAGGGTGATACGTTTTATGAGGACTGTATCATGAAGTGCAGGCAAGGGGAAGCCTCTCTTACTCATTTCCAAAAGAGGAAACTGGGCAAAGGAGAATGGAAACATTCTTCTTTCAATTTGAGTTTCTGTAGATAGCTAGTTCTGCCAAAACAGCTTTGCTGTTAGAAAATGGAGATGGCCCTCCATTCCACTGCCAGTTGCTGAACAGATTTGGCCTTGCAGTCAGTAATGCAGGACTGCACAGACTAAGAAGCTAAAGGAAGTGTAATCTTAAGAGTCCAAAGCATGGCAGACTAAGCCAGCTACCAGCAGTATAATAATTCTTAAGACTGTGCTAGCATACCAAAACCTTTGGATGAGCCACATAATCTAGGTGCTAACCACTCTTATCCCCATCTTCAGATGGGAAACTGAGTCAGTACACACCATTGCTGTATATCTCATTGAATGTGGTTTTGTTTGAGTACAGGTAAACAAAGACAAAGTGAAGCAACTGATGAGGGATATCGGAAAAGAGATTTACCAGCTGAACATGGCTGGGTGCTATTGGCTGCCCAGCTCCACTATTGATCACGTAACACGATGCAAGAACCTGGTAAAACTGAACTTGTCTGGGTGCCACGTCACCTCTCTCCGTCTCTCAAAGATGCTGTCCACGCTCCAGCACCTGCGCTCCCTGGCAATAGATGTAAATCCGGGTTTCGATGCCAGTCAGCTAAGCAGTGAGTGTAAAGCCACTCTTAGCCGTGTCTCGGAACTGAAGCAAACCCTTTACACGCCGTCATATGGTGTTGTTCCGTGCTGCACTAGCCTTGAGAAACTGCTGCTTTATTTTGAGATCCTTGATCGCTCACGAGAAGGTTTTATGCTCTCTGGGCAGCTAATGGTAGGTGAGAGCAATGTGCCCCATTACCAGAACCTCCGCATCTTCTATGCCAGGCTGGCTCCTGGCTACGTTAATCAGGAGGTGGTGAGGCTGTACTTGGCGGTGCTAAGTGATCGGACACCTGAGAACCTTCACGCCTTCCTTATTTCTGCCCCCGGTAGCTTTGCAGAGACGGGAGCCACTAAAAACCTCCTGGACTCTATGGCTCGAAATGTACGTCTGGATGCTTTACAACTGCCCAAAGCCTGGATTAATGGCTCTGGGCTCCTGCAACACTTGAAGTTCAAAAACCCTTTCTACTTCAGCTTTAGCCGATGCACCTTATCTGGTGGTCACCTGATCCAGAGGGTTATTAATGGTGGGAAGGATCTTAAAAGCTTGACCAGTTTGAATCTCAGTGGCTGCGTTCACTGTCTGGCTCCGGAGTCCTTGTTTCGAAAAGCGGAAGATGACATTGACAGTAGCATTCTGGAAAGCCTGGTAGTGTCTTGCTGCAACCTGAGACACCTCAACCTCTCTGCAGCTCACCATCACAGCTCAGAAAGCATAGGGAATCACTTGTGCCAGCTTCTGTCCAGGCTAAAGCACCTGCTCTCATTAGCACTACCGGTTTGCTCTATCACAGATGTTGCTGCAAACGTGGAAAAGCCTCCTGTGGCCTCTAATTTGGTGCCCCAAACACTTGGAAGGAAAGTGCGGATTGGGATACAGACATATCCGAGGAACTTAGCAGACCAGGCAAATCAGAAGATAGAATCTTCGGTATTCTGGGCTCTGATGGGAAGCCTCCGATTTTTGGAAACCTTGGAAATAATTGGGTCCAGTTTTTCCTCTGCCATGCCCCGCAATGAGCCAGCAATTCGGAACTCGTTGCCTCCTTGTGTCCGGGCACAAAGCGTGGGGGATTCAGAGGTGGCTGCCATTAGCCAATTGACTTACTTACAGAGCCTGACCTTAGCACAACTGCCAAATATTCTTACTGGCTCTGGGCTTATTAACATTGGATTACAGTGCCAGCATTTGCGGACTCTTTCGTTGGCCAACCTGGGCATGATGGGGAAAATGGTCTATATGTCTGCTCTCATGGACATGCTGAAACACTGCAGGTGTTTGAGAGATCTCAGGTGAGGGGCTGCCACTGAACATCTCTGTCTTGTTTGTGGATCTCCAGAAATGTAATGCATGGTTTATTGTGGTTAGCGTTAAGACTGTGAGTGTTCCTCTTCTGGTCAAAAGTAGCTGCAATGGCTTGCAAACTGGGTATTTTCCTTCCTGACTTGTGGAGAACGGGAAGGCATCACGTGCTGTCCTTGAGGGCTCAGGATGTGCCCTTTGACCAGGGTTCTAAGAGCAAAAAGTCTCTATCCTGCAACTGTCTTCCTTTTAGATAAGGAAGAGTGGATGCTGCGTATTTGGGAGCTAGCAGCCTGTCAGGGCTAGCTTGAATACTACATGCTTTTGCTGACTTTTTGGCTTTATGTACACATACATCTTTTAAATTTCAAGGACGGAAGGAAGGGACTTCTACAATGTCTAGATAATGTAGAGTTCTCCTCAGGTTTCCCAATGAGATATTTTTCTGCCTTTGGTTTGTATTAAAATCTTGCCTCTTTATTTTTTTTTCTTTTTTTCTTTTTTTTTTTTTTCTTGATAGGATGTTGAAAGCATTCCTAATTTAGAGTTTGTCCTGTTGATGTTCCTGTCTTGGAACATCTAGGACCTGATCCTAAAGGGTGCATAAAGTTGATTCACGGTAGTCAAAATGTGCTTATGAAAGCAAAGGGCGCAAACTGTGACTGTTTCCTTGCACCAGTCCGTATGAACACAAATGTTATTACTTGAAAGATCCTCTTTTTATTTTTCCTTACTTTTCTCCCTAAATCAGCTTCTGTTGGTGAAACTGCTAGACCTGTCAGTCCCGTTGTCATCATCTGTTCACAAAACGGGTCTGAAAGGCCTGCCAGTAGTCACAGCAAGGTCACTCCTGTGATCACAAAGACTGTTAGCGTAACTAAAATTATTGCTTATCAGCTGAGACTGGTGTTTGTGTGCATTTTCCTGATCCACTGCAATAGTGAAGGGAGCCAGGGTGGCTAAAACACCTCAGGAGGGTTTTGATTTTCCACCACTTCCCATTTATAACAGGCAAGGAGTGTGTTGGTCTCTCATCCAAGGTATGACAGCTGTTGGAAATTCAGTTGCTTAATGGCTTGGGTCAGGTGAATGTATCTTTAAGCTTCAGGAGACTGAATAGCCATGGAAGAAGGGAGATGTGGGGAAGGAGGTTTGGGTGTGCAGTGGTGTTTCACTCAGTCTGGGCCCGGTAGTTTCCAGAGACTTTGAAATGGAGGTCAAGAGTGATAAAAATGGGAGGCAGTGTAGAGCCTTGAATAAAGGACGAACAAGGGTGTCTCCTTGTAACAGCCAGGCATTCCAATGTAAGCCATCACTCTTCTTTCTTGAGTAAAGTCTAAGGGTTTATAGAGGTTTAAGAGGATTTTAATGTTTAGCGCTTCTTCCTGATTATGTAGTTTCCTTTTCATTTGACTAGTTCTCTGCTGCTTCTACCCTTTTTTCCCCTCCCCATTTTCTAGGCTGAGAAACTAGTTGAAGGGGATATTCCAGAGCAACATTGTCATCTAGCGAGCGAAAGGCAGTATTGCAACTATGGCTGTTGTGTCACAGAGATTAACCTAGAAACCTACTGTGAGGTTGCAGGGGCTTCTGTGCTTTTTCCTAAACTTATAATGGACCAATAACGCTGTTGAAAAGTTGGATAGGCTTCCCGTTTCCTTAATATTAATTTTAAGCTATTACCCAAAGTGCTTCTGGGCTGTTAGGATCTCTTCAGGCAATGCTACCTGACCAGCAGTCACAGGCTGAGACTCTAAAACAGAATTTGTCAATTAACAGGATTAAGTTGCTGAGATACCCCGTGTACTACAAAAGCCTACGCAGAGATTATCCAGATCAGGTTGGGACTGACAGCTTGTTACCACCTAATGGATTAACCTTCTTGGAGCTCTTGGCCTTGCTGACCCAATGACTGGGATTCCCAAGTGCTCTGAGGCCCTGTAGTAAATCTGCACTAAGCAGATGTACTCTTCTGGTGACACTGGCCCCTGCAGGCTGGTTTCTGTGAGGGAGTCATCCAGTTACGCTACTAGTTAAAACATGGACCCCTTGTTGGTCAAGTATGGCTTCACTATGTCATTTTGTTGTCCTACTCTGGGCTGTGATGTAAGATTGTGGATAGCCATGATAGAAAATCCTGTCTGTCTTCTCTGGGCCAAGGTAAAGGTTGGATTGATGATGGTTTTTCTTCCTGTGGGAGAGCAGTAGCCTTGTTCCTTTGCTATCCTCTGACCAGGGAGGGCTGGTTGTGGTCACTCTGGCTCAGAGGCCCAAGTTCTGCATCACCATGTGTGCATTGTGAATTTTTCATGCCTGCTTCTCCCTAGGCAGTAAACTGAAGATGACCGGTTTGATCAGTGTTTGGTGCACTGGAGCAGTAAGTCCCTAAATCCCCATCACCTGCTCGGTGGATGTCGGGTAGCAAAAGCCAGGCTGTGCTTGTCGTAAGACTAGAATGGATCTGCTGGTCAGATCTAAGGCCCATCTTACCCAACGTGCTTTGTGGAAAACTTGCAAAACCACGGTTACTCCCTGCAGGCACTGGAATTCTGCAGTTCAGGGCATTTCTGCCTATTTGTGTCCTTGTCCTTTAGCACACACCGCTCAAGAGTAACCAGCAAGCAAGAGGTCTGAGCTTGCAGCGTTGCGTTTGTTGTGCCATACCACTGGCACAAGCAGGTAGAAGGTTATCACGTGTGTAAGTGAAACAGGCGGTGGGGGACACTGGTTGCTCCGTTTGCCAGCCCCCCATGAATGTGCCATCTTCCCTCTTGTCTGAAAGCGGCCCAAGCATGAATTGCCCATTGACTTGTTTTTGTTTATTCTTGCAGGCTGGAACAGCCGTACTTCTGTGCGGGTGCCCAGTTCTTCCAGGCACTGAGTCATTGCTCCTCTCTCCAGCGGCTTTGCATCGTCTCCCGGAGTGGGACTCTGCAGTCTGACGCAGTGATGTCATTCATGGCCAACTGCCTTGAGGTCATCATGTGCCACATGTTTATGGGAGAATCTCTTACTGTTTGCAAAAATCTCCAGCAATCTATTGTCCGGAGGTGAGTGCGGAAAGGGGTTGATGTGGGATTTCTGGAGCTGTTGAAGATTCATCTCCATTTCCTTGCTTGCCAAGGTTTATATGGCTTGGAGCACTTGTTCCAAGAAGCTAATAGGTACTGTGTAACCACTTGGCACATGAACTAGCCTCTTATTTTAATAAGAGTGAATCAGTGAAATATTTGAAGGTATTATATGAATTTTTGATTCCATTCCCACCCATGTTCTCTGCAGTTCCGTTGGCTGAGTTGTAGTTCTGGATGTAAAGCTCCATCATAAATCAAACGACACTTTTCGTGTAAACAAAACATCTGCCGACATTTTAAGTACTGAGAGATTTGACCTTGAAGCTTTCCTCCTTTCCCACAAGTGACTAAGATAATTCTCTGTGCTCTAATCAGTTGTAAATGTCACTTACTGATAATCCCCTGGCAGCGCAATTCAAAGCCTTTAAAGGGTTGTTGTGAAGGGTTTTTCTTCGGGGGAGGTGCGCGGAGGGGGGGGAGAATTGGTACAAACTGCCTTTGCACATTTGGCAGTTCTTAAATGCATTTTGCTTGGCCCCTTGCAGTGTTCTGAGGCTCACGTGGTGGGAAACGTTTGTGTGTGAGCCGTGAACTGCATTTGAAAAGAGAGCTTTTAATTACGCTTGGCATTTTGAAATCTTCTAATAGTGGCAGTCATCTTACAAAATATTTCCCATGCAACAGACTTTCCATTATTTTTTTTTTTTCTATAAGGCTTTTTCTCCGCCTTCAGTCTGTTTTCTTTGTCACCTACTGTTGCTTTGCCCTGTTAAGCTCTAATAAAAATTTCAAATCACACGGCATTATTACTGCATCCTAAAGGGTGCTCCTCCCCCCCAGCCTTTCTCCAGCTTCGTACTGACTTATTACACTTGGCTTGTTTCCGCGGATCAAATCCAGAAGAGCCTATGACTATATTAGCTACCTACCAAACTGCACACGAGATTGTTTGTTACAGCCTCTCAAAGGCTCTGTGTCCTTCTGGGATAGTGATTGTTGGAACATCTAAGCAAATTCCTTGTGATGTGACAAGGATTCTTTGAATTTGTTTTTCACAGGGCTTGATATCTGTAAAAACATTTCTTGGTGGATTTCAGTATTGCTTTGGGGTTCCTTAGAAAGAAACAAGAATCTGCAGTTCCCGTTTCTTATTTTGCCCTCCCCTCTGAGATTCTGTTGCAGCACTGGCCAAAATTTCAGTGTCCGCTTACTGAGCAGAAATATGCTGTTCTGCAGTCTTTTCTCCCTCTTTTTCTCTGTCATGGACAGATTCTCACTATGTTCTGTACCTCTTAATAATTTAAACCCTGGGAACTTTCCAAAGAGCAGCTGATGCCTTGTGGAAATGTTAAAAACTATTTTTATATTTAGCAACAGTTCTGGCTGTCATACTATATTTCTTCTTTTCTATTTTATTAATAGAGACGTTTGTATGAAAATAGGATTTTTGAAGTGTGGGGTTTTGTTTTGTTTTTTCCTGAAGAGAGCATCTGCTCCCACTGCAAATTCTACACCTGAAGTCATAATCCTCTGTGACACTGTAATTGGTGGCTCTGGAAATGATTTTGATGTCACGTAAGATTATGACTTCAGGAGGAGGATAAGCAGTGGGAGCAGATGCTCTCCTAAGCAACAAAGATCCCGTTCTCATGCAACTGTCTCTAGTAATAAAATGGAAGGAACAAAATACAGAAAATGATGTGTAAGCTAAGCCTGGAGTCTTCCACGAGCCATCAGTGAGTCTTTAACGACGTGACTTTTCCAGGGATCCCATTTTCATCCTTGCACAAATGTGCCTTCAGATGAGGTCAGGAATTGACTTTCTCTTGACTGCGTTTTGTCTGCTACTCCAAGGGCAAAGAGACGTAAAATCCGTGTATGAGCTAGTTCATGGTTTAAACCTGTGGATGAGGCTCTAATTCACACAGCGTAGCTTCCTCTAAAAAATATGTTGCTAGTGTCTCTTTAATCGAAGTTTTAAATTGGAAGAGCACATTGGGCAGCAAGTTTGAAGTTCTATATCCTTGTGCCAGAGTGAAATAAGGTGATTTATCCCTTTTCTTTTTTTGTTTGTGGGGTTTTTTTATTTTTGTTTGTTTTTGTTTGGAATGTGCAGATACTGTGTGTGCGGGGAAAACATGGAGAGTGGGTGGGAAGGAGGAGGCAAGAGCAGGGAAGGCAAGGCTGTGAGTCTGTCTTTGCTCCCTTTCTTCAGCTGGGGGAACTGATCCATATTCCTTGGGTCCTATTAAGGGTTAGAGTTTCTGTTTTAGGGCTTGGAGATAGTCTTGTCCAGCTGAGAGCAGCGAAGTTATTGCTGTTTTTGAACAGGGAGATGGGGCCAAAGTGACTCCTGTTCTTACAATGCCTCTAAAACCAGAAGAAATACGAGCAGGAACTGGAAAGGCCTAGAGCTGGGCACGCACCAGTAGTTTGCTGCAGGTGGTAGAGCTGGCAGGGCTTGAAAATGCAATGTAGTGCAGGGCAATCCTTTTTCAGATGTGGATACATAGGAGAGTTCAGATGGCAAAAGAAGCTGGGATCGATTTGGGGAGAACAGACTGGTTTCAACTGCTGAGTTGTACTGGAAGATGGTGTATATACAGGGTGTGGGTATTGAATCTCGTATGTCACACCGATGCCTTAAAGCCTGAACTGATTCTCAAACTCTTCTCTCTGACTGTAAAATAAGGATATTGTTATGTATTTCTGTTCTACTGGCTCAAAAAAAGAGTTGTTCTCATGTCTGTTAGTCTTGTGACAGCTCTGACCAAGCCCTGTGGTGTCCAGCTTTCTTGTGGACAGTTTTCTGGTTGAAGTTTGCTGCTATTTGGGACAGATTGGTTTATGTATTTAAGTCATTAAAAGCCTCTGATTCAGTTCTGCCTCTTTTGCAATGAAACACAGTAAGCATAACAGCACTCATCTGGAGCCCTCATCAGCAAACAAGAGGCTTGCAAGGGCAAGGTCTCCTCTGAGCTTTAGAAAAGACTGTTTCCCTCTGGGCAGATAAATCATTGCAGTGTTTTTCTTTATTCTTTTTTCTTCTGTGTGAATGGGAGGGGTATTCTCCTTTATGGTTAGGGAGATACTCTGTGCACATAAGAGGGGCCTAGTGGTTAGAGTGGGAGATGTGGCTTGAGTGATCCATATCGACTTCCCTGATCTTCCTCAGATTTCACATGTGAGTGGTCTAGTTTCAGTTTCTCTGTAAAATCACTTTTTTTTCCTATCACATGGTACTCAGCTGCTGCCACACTTCAGATAGTAGCGGATCTAGCTAACACAAGGTTTTCCCTTTTATGCTTAGACCCTAACTTTGCCAAAGTGCTTAGCTCCAAGCATGTGTTGTCTTTGTTTAAATAACTCTTCTGTTAAAACCACTGCAGCGGTAATTTCAGAAACAGTAAACCACCGCAATTCAGGGACCCATGGTTGCAGGTTCCAAGTGTGACCCCAGACCTGTTGCTGTGCAAAGAGGCTTCTTTGCAGACAAAGGAGATTTGCTTCTCCCTTTTGGGCTGGATTGCAGTGCTGGGATTCTTTCTAAATGCTTGCAAAAAGCCAGTGTGTCCAAAGCCCGGTTTGAGGGGACGCAGTGTGCTTCGAACAGCTTTCCCCAAAGGTTTTCACAGTTACTTTGTGAAATAGTCAGTAGATGGAGCTGTGACCTATGGAAGGTGTCCCACTGCTTACTGATGTGTTGCATGCTAAATAATCATATATATACGCCTGTATTTCTCTGCCCCAGAAATCTTGCAGCCAAGGAATTTGGATGACTTCAGGGTTGCACAGCTACGTTGTGTGGTTAGTGGGCACTTCACAAATGTGCAGGCTAAGTTGCTTTCCTTGCGAAGCTTACCAGCAGAAAACAGGGGATGGGAAATGCTTTGGCAAATATCCCCTTGGCCTCAAGGACAGATTTTATTTTCCAGTGTGTTCCTTTAGAATTTTGTCGGTTTTAGCTTAAGTGTTTAGATAGCTCCTCTCATTGTAATGATTTCAAGGACTCTACAACACCAGACAATACAAGCCTGTGAAAAGTCCTTGAAAAAACACCTTGGAAGAGATCAAGAAAGCAGCAGTAAAAAAAAAAAAACAAACCCAAAACCAAAGCAAACAAAAATCTCTGAGAGCATGATGTCATTAGGGATTCTTCATACATAAGAGGGAAGTGTCAAGGCATAGAGGTGAGTTGTGATTTACAGAAATGCAATCTAAATTAAGCCTTGGTAGAGAGCGTGGTCAGGAAGCAAAAGAGTGTGGTGCAGCTGAAGTGTGTTTTGGGGAGGTGGATGGGTTACAACTGCTTACTTCTCCCAAAAGCGTTGTTGTCATCTCCTGGGATCTGATAGCTGCTGGGGCTAGCGGGGGTCCTGGTGTAGCATCCCCCAAGAGCTGCAGGGTGGGGAGTGGGGGGCTGGCAGTCCTAGCTCAAGCTATCTGGCCCTGTTCCCCTAGCCACGCTGGCTACCTTGCTCCAGCAAATGGCTTTGCAAAGAGAGTGTGCAACTCAAGTGACTGTAAGGGTTAACCAGTGCTGGGAAGTGCAGAGAATTTTACTGGTTTTGGACAATCTGGGGATCCAAGACCCAGAGAAAGGGAAACACTAACTTAACCTTCCTTCTGCCTGTGTCAGGTATGAGCACTGCTTAGTTTGAAGTGACTTTCACAATAGGACTCCTGCCACTTTCCAGGAACAGCTATTTCAGTCTGAATTAGATCTTACTGTTCAAGCTTTGTAGCATTACCTAAATTTTCCCTTGCTTGTTATTGTCCTTTTTTAACATGAAACTCTTGGCTGGATCTTACCTTTTCTTAAACTGCTGATGCCAGTGGTCCTGTGTGGCTGTGAGAGCTATGGTGCTTGCTGAAGGGATGAAGCACCCTCCTGGGATTCAGTTGCAGAAATAGGGCTTCCAGGTGGGAGCATGGGGGTGAAATGGAGTATTTAGAAAGTGCTGAGTGAGCCAGTC